TGCACATTGTACAAACACTGAGGTCACTTATTCAACCTACTGATACATGGTAAACAGACTTACACAGCCCTTTCCTGTGAAACTCAGGTGAGGCTGATATCACCGGGACCTATTAGGGGTTCAGTGTCTTATCACAGTGCTGCTGTGATAAGTGGTCTGGAGAAGCTGGGACTTAAACCGCCGGCCCCATGGTCAGGGGATGATCCAAGACTCAGCTGCCCAAGCATTTCCAACAGCTGCTAAACTCGGCCTCGAGATCCTTTTTCAGTAGGAAATGATTTCTGAACTGAACTCAGTTCATCCTCAGACCCTGTAAGGTCCTGATCCTGGCCCTATTGTCTAAACTGCCACCTGGGTCTGAGGATTAAATGTAAATAACATTCCGTGTTCTTGTTCCATGAAGGACCTGATGATAAAGCAAGAAAACCTCTGAAATCCCGATTCAGCTTTAACTGGATTGTTTTCAGCGTGAAATGAAAATCCCCGCAGAGATAATCTCATCAATATATACTCAGGCATTTACTCTGAAAGCCTGTAGCAGGAAGCGTGAGCACTTTCTGGGTCAGAGGAACAAATAAATAAATAAAACAAAACAAACATTTAAAAAACTGGAGCAGGAGAACCCAGGTGGTGAGGCTCAGTGGGAGCGTTTCAGCACCTTTTTGTGTTCTTGTGTAAAACTGATTCACTTTGTGTTGTTTCTGTGTTTGCGGGTGCATGGACTCTGGGTGACGTGCACTGTAGATCAACTGTATATGTGGTGTCTGACTCGGGCTCTGCTTTCTGTCTGTTGATCAGACAGTGGTGGAGAGCGGCGACAGGAAGGTTCTGGCTGAGATATGAAGGACTGATGTGAACACAGAGCAGAAACTAAACAGCAGCAGGAGGAAAAACCTAACCATGACATGAAACCTAAAGCAACAACAGCAGCATGTGCAATAAAACACCAGAGAGAGAGCTGCTACAGTCCAACCTTAATCTGACACGACAGCATCGAGCTGCTGCCGCACAGCAATGGCTGCCCTTCAGCGTATCTCAAGGAGACTGATAACTGTGTGACAGACACTACCTGAGTGCAAACCAAACCAAGATATAGTATTTGATCCAAGGGGGGTTAGGGACCATGAGCCTGTGCTCACTGGGGACAGTGAGATCACACTGGTGTGCTCCTACAACTACGTGGGCATAGTGTGCCAGGCTTGCACAAGGACGTCCTCCGCAGACTGACAGCTTGCTGTGAGTGCCAAGATCATCAAAACATTTTTTTTTTAATTAAAGCTACAATCAGGATTAAATTTAGATCTAGCTAGCATGAGGCTCTATCGCTCCAACCAGCCAAACACCACCAACCCATCACAGAGTGAAATTCACCCAGTTAGCGTAGCTCACTGAGCCGACTGCCCTGCTTCATGTCTACTGTACAACGGCACAACTGCGTAGCAGCTCCACTGCAGGACAGGTGGACAACACATTTGCAGCCAGCACAGCTTGTTAACATAGGCAGAGACACAAGTGTGGGTCATGCACATCCACAGAAAAGTTTTGACAGGTCGCAACACAAAATACACTTGTCCAATCCAGTATTTCTATCATATATAGGACACATGCTATTCAAAACATCTGAAATTGAATAAAGCACACTGTCAAGTGTAGCAGCACCTGAAGAGAGAGACATACAGCACAGTACCAAAACCAGGGTGACCCAGAACCAGACTCCTGGGGAAAAGTCACCAATCTAGTGGAGACTGCAACACATTCAGCTGGTGGGCATCAAAATAATGCAAGTCACCAGTCACAAATTGATTTGACAGCTGCAGCAGAACAGCCAGTGGCTTGTGAATGAACCTGCCTGGATGTAACTGTCTGATTATTACAAGTGAAAGTAGCAACACAGTGACATCCTTAGCTCAGCCAGCTGCTGTTAGGAGTCACACTGGGAGTGCAAATGACATGTACTGGCAGGAATTAGCTACAAGCACAAAGGGTAATGGTTTGAATGCTTACTACTATAAATAATAAATTCACAGCATACCAGTCAAAAAGAAACATTTGTAAAACCCTCTTCTATGTCAAATCTCTACACCTGCTGAAAGCTGTGCCAATATAACTGCATGATCTAAATCCAGTTGTGTTGGTTTCTTTTCTTCCTTCTCTTCAAAACTCTCATTTCATGACCTTTTTTTTCATGAAGCTGTCTCTGCTAACACTGGAATCATTAGTGCTCAAAGTCCTCCCTAAGCAAGGCCATGGGAAGTACTGCTACTGTATGTGGTCGTGTGGGGGAAGATGCAGCAACCACTGGCTGGATTTACTGACCTTGGAGCTACTTGAAAGGGAGTGATGTTTCCACTACTCAGTGGGACTTAACGGTAAGTAAAAAAAAAGTTGTGTGTCTGTTGATACCTTGTTTCTGTAACAGAGAGAATTGTTGTTACTACGCTACGTCTGCATTATGCCAGTTAAAATATGGGGTTTCTCAGTTACCTGCTTTGTTTAGAGTGTTACACATGTCTTTTACCTATCTATGGAGGAGACATTCATATTAATTAATGCCGTCACAGTTTGTTGTGCTGTCCACTTGCAACACAACACCAGCAGCAGGAGTTGTGTGTGTTCATGAACTATCCTCTCATTTTTAGGAAGAGACTCTCTGGTTTTATGGTTCTGAAAAAATTGCAGACTATTTGGAGTTATGAGGGGTGCCAGGCTAATCTAGAGGTGCCCAAGATTAAACATTAAATGGCTGGAAACAAGCACAATGAGCAGCCATGGGGACTTCAAGTAGATAAAGAAGTGCCTACTAACAATCATCAGTAAATGTTACTCACTTTTTTTATTAGTAATTAGTTGTGTGATGTATTGAGAAATGGTAGGTAGACTAAATTTCTTTTAGTGTCGTAGCTGACTAATTTAGGTACTCTTTATTCAAAATATGTGGTCAAATCTACCCAAAGTGAGTGCAAACTGTCACCTGACATTTATTGAGGAGATTATATGATTATTATTCCTTTCATAGAGAAATATGGTACTGTATGTTTGTCCATGTACACAGCATATCTTTTATAAACTCATAAGAAAACATAGACAACCAATTAACAGTAGGTATACATCATTTACATGTGTTTTAGGGTGGTGTAACCCCCACCCTCCAAACAGCTCGTCTAGTTTATTTTTTATTTATTTTATGGGTTTGGTTTACCTTTTAATGCTTCCAGGCCTCCCCAGGGAACCCTTTGTTTCACATAACAAAACAATGAACACTGGGGAATTCCCTCAGGTAAAGTCTGCAGAAATGCCAACTTATGGGAAGTGAGCATAAAGGGATCAAAATGAAGGTACTTGACACTTTCAGTGGGACGGCCCTGAGCCCTCAAGGATCGGGCCGAGCTTGCTACACTATGACCAAATAAACTTGCCTGGTCTAGAGACAAAATGTGTTCATGTACTGATTGACAGCTGAAAGCCCCCACCCCTGAAGGTGGCTGCTTCTGATTGGTTAAGCGTGTTGTCCTGGTCAGGCCGTTTGATGAGTCTGGGTCACAGGAGCCTTCAACAGCAACTCTCCCCACTGAGATACATTTTGGTGGAAAAATACTGAAATATGAAAATTCTTACATAGGCTACTGATAATTTAAAGATGACAATAAAGTCAACAGCTATTTACTTCTGTTGTGCTGATGGCTTTAAAATGCAATCACCAACTACCTGCTTCAGATCAACAACATGAAGACAAATATGCTCATCAGGAGACATTTCATGTCTCAGCAAGCCTGCAGGACAGGCTTACATTTCTATTAACAAGACTGAAATCTGAGTTTAGTCTGGGGAAAATGAAACAAGAACACAAAGCTCAAGCTGAACCATCCAGCAAAAAAAAACTGGCTTTCTCATGTAAAACTGAATCAGTGTAACCAAACCGCAGGGCTGCAGTTTAAAGTTCTGGCTGAGTTTGCCGACCTGGTGTTGAGGCTGACAGGTTTAACATGCTCTTAATGTGAAAGTTTCTGAACTCTGTCACACAACACCAAACTGTGACCAAACACTGGAACTCCCATCTACAGTGACCTCAATTGAAAATCCATCCAAAAAGCACTGATTTTTCAAAAGCTTAAACTCACTGGCGGAAACAGACTAACCTGATTCAACAGGAAATCTGTCACACTGAATAAACCCATGTCTCTGGACCTCGAATGTGCTGCAGTGCCAACCACTGCTCACAGAGTCCGTATGAACCGCAAACCACCCGAAAAACACTGAAAATCTCTGCTGCAGTCTGCTCACAGGCCTGTGCCACGAAAACCATCCATTCAGACTTGGAACAAACACTCAGATGTTTCTGACGTTATGAAACCACGTCAACTCAGGAGGCCTGTTTCATTCAACTTGTAAGAAGCCAACACAAAGGGAGATACGAAGTTTTCATCTCACAGTTGCCTAATTGTTGAGTTTAAAATCTAGTAAGCCAGCCCCCACCCCGTCTATTGGTTTGCGGAGAACCGTGTCTTCTGAAGTGAATTCAGGTTCCAGACACATGGACAAACGTCAAAGACCAGACTACAGAGTGAAGCCTCTAACAAATTAAAAGCGGGAGAGACAGAAGAAGCTGGAGCACGTCTGAGACAAACAGGCAAGTTTTTAAGCCTCGAACACACAAAAGCACTCAGAAACCTGCAGCTGTGCATTACATCCGCCCGAGCTGCTGCACATCCTCCAACGGCCAAACCTTCATCTGCTCATCTGCCATGTTAGACAAACCTCCAGACACCAGACAGGTCAAGGTCAAACCGGATCAACAGACCGGGACAGATTTGGCTGAACCGGTGTTGTGTCGAGATGTGTTTCCCCTAACATTATCCTAACCACGACCACTGACTGGAGCGTCACGTGAAACCGAGTTTTTAACAGGAGGCACGCATCTCGATACAAGACCGAAGCCGCATGCCTCTGCACAGCAGCGCACGTACCGTCCCAGGTCCAGGTGTAGTTTTACAGACTCCTACCTGCGTGCGGAGCGGCTCCCCCTGCTCAATGACACTGAGGAAAGGGATCTCCAGGGACGAGGCCAGGAAGTCCACCTGTAGCAGCTCCTCGCGGCTCTGCGGGAAGGCGAGCACGGCGGACACTCCTTGCACCACCACGCCCTGACACACGCACCGTAACAGGGACTCCGGGTCCGCGGCGGCCGGCTGCTGGGACACCAGCTCCAGGCTTAGGTTGTAGGGCAGGAAGTTGTCCCGTTCCCATTCCCGCTGGTCAGGGTCATGGTCCCGACTCACCGCGGCCGTAGCGCGGTTCAGACCCAGCTTTTTTTTTGCCGGAAGGAGCGCACCGACGCGCACCTTGTGTCCGATCTGTACCAGGAGGTGGCACGGCTGCGGGTGGTGGAGGCACGGCTGTATGAGGAGGAGTTGCAGGAGGAGTAGGGCTCGCAGAGTCCGGGACCAGGAGGAGGTGAAAGACATCCTGTCGCGCTCTCAGCATCGCTCTGTCGGCTCCTCTGGTTAATCCTCGTGCCCCACGGAAACACTGAGGGGTTGCTGCTATTGAGAGAAGAGGAGGTTGCTCCTCCTGCTCCCGAGGAGGGAGGAGGGGAAAAGAGGAGGTGAGCTGGCGCCCCAAAAGTGACGGGGATAAGCAGGGGCAGATGAGAGGAGGAGGTGTGAGGAGATGTGGAATTAAGGAGGTGCAGAGGAGAAGAGAGGAAGACAACAGCAACTGAGAAAAAAAGGTGGACAAAGTGACAGGAGTGTTTCACAAGAAAGAAAAAGGAGACGAGGGGGTGCAGAAGACGTTGAAAGGAGGAGAAAAGGCGGAGGACTGAGAATCAGGAGGAAACGCAAAGAGGAGAGGATGGGAGAACAAGACAGATTAGAGAGGGGAGATGTGATCCTCAAAGGAGGCCCTACAGAAGGGGAAAGGAGACAAGAGGACAAGGTTAAGGTGTAGGAGGACATTTAACAAACACGGGGCGAGGGTAGGTGTCCTCACAAAAGGAGGAGGTGCAGAGGAGAATGATACAAGGAGGTGCTAGAGGAGACAGAGGAGGAGAGAAAAGTTAAAAGAAGATCAAACTGGAGATGTGGTATCTAGGAGAGGAGGTGGAGGCGAAAGAGAGATGAGAGGAGTAGAGAACCAAGGAGGTGAGGTGGTGTCCTACAGACAAGAGGAAGAGGTGCTGCAGTGAGATTTATCAGAGCATCTACAAAATCAGTTTTTTCTTTTTATTTTTTTGGTTTTTATCTTTGAATCTGTGTATTATTTACTAATGAAAAATCAGGTTGTGTATTTGTCTGGTGTTTTGTCTGGTGGAGGAAAAATATTTTCAGTGAATGAGTGAACATTTTGTAGGATTAACTCCAGGCCGTCAGAATAAAATCAGGTCAGTATAATTTTATTTCAGTAATATAATGATCAGAGCAGAAGGTTGAATAAATAAAGTGTCAGTTCTGATAATCAAAGAACACATTACACATTGTTAGATAAATTAATAGTTAAGGCGTGATCTGGTAACATCTGACTGCATTCCAAAGTCCCATCAGGAAAATATAAATTTTATGTTCCATCTGTCAAGGACAATCAGGTCGTTATACAAACCACAGTACTGGTTCCCTTGGATAAATATCCATCATAGATACTGCTTATAGGGGTATAGATGGGGCTGGAGCCAATCCCAGCTGACACTGGGTGAGAGGCAGGGTCCACCCAGGACAGGTCTCCAGTCTGTCAGAGGGCTGACACGTAGACAAACAACCACACTCACCCCTAGGGGTGATTTAGAGTCACCAGTCAACCTAAGCTGCATGTCTGTGGGCTGTGAGAAGAAGCCGGAGCAACCGGAGAGAACCCCCGCAGGCAAAGGGAAGACATTGAGACTGCACACAGAAAGGGAACCTGGAACCTTGTCGCTGTGAGGCGACAGTGCTAACCATCACGTCACCATGCCATAATTATTTTCATTTTTGATGTGGTCACGACTAAAGATTGAGTTCTGTCAAATTAATAGGATTTAACTAGGTCTGGGGCCAGTGCACCTCAAACAGGCACAGGTCTGTAGGAACGACCTCTTTGTCCTACCAGTTTGACTGAAGAGCTGCGTGTTTGTTACCATGTTCACTGCACCACTAACATCGGTCTGTTTGACAGCTACGCAGTGTTCACACTGTCCACACTTGTCATTCAAAGCTCATTAAAAAGTCATTAATACACATAAATGAAGTGCTTCTCTGAAGATGAACCAGCGTTACAACCACACAACACAATTCTACTGTCCTCCGTCCATGTGCAACACTGGCTATGTGGTTGAGTTCTGCCTTTTTTGTTCTGTTAACGTGACAAAACATTTTAACCATTTTTGAATCGATTTAGAATCGCACACGTTATGAATCGTGATTCTAATGTGACTTGATTTTTTTTCCACCCACCATATTAAACAGGCAGCAACAACAAACACAGCAGACAAAGTCATACAAAAACAAGAGACCTTTATTTTCCAACAACAATCAGTGTGTGTGTGCTTGTGTCAACCTGGGTGTGTTTCTCAGTGTGTACCTGTACACACTGTGTCTAAGTGGGTTTGGTGAGCAGCTGACTGGAGAAGTCATACAGATCTTTGTTGATTTTCTTCAGAGTCTGAACTTCTTCTTCCAACTCTGAGACTCGAACCTTCGTGTTTTCACCATCGCCAAACACCGACTGAAACAACACAACAGCTGAATATTAATAAAAAATTATTAAATATAGGGCAGAGATACATACACTGGTTCCAGCTGCTGTTTCTGTCATGTGTTAAGTCAAACTGCAGAGGGAGGGTTTTCCTGCT